ATATGGTTTCATCCATTCATTCAAAAATATTAATTGAACACCTAGTAAATGCTGGCACTGTTCTAGGCAATCAAGGTCCACTCTGAACAAAAATGGCAAAACCCCTGGCCTCTTGGAGCTTACATTCTACGTGAGAGGGGAAATAGGCAATACACTCATATATATTATGTCAGGAGAAAAATAAAACAGAGTAAGGGGCACACGTTGTGTCTGGGAAAGGAAGGGGAGGGGGACAGCTTTTGCCTTTTTAACCACATGCTTAGGGTAGACTTTACTGATAAATGACATTTGAGTAGAGACTCGCGGAAAATGAGGGGAAGGAACAGTATTGATGGCTGACAGAAGAGTTACAGGCAGAGAGAACAGAAAATGAAGACCCTCAACTGCTCCATAGACTTAAAGGGGCAAGGAGAAGCCCAAGTAGCTGAGCAGAGTGAAGTTAGGAAGTGTGGGACTAAATCATGGAAGGTCATGTAGGCCATCGTAAGGACTCTGACGTTTACTCTAGATGAGACGGAAAACTATTCCCGGGCATTGAATGACATGTTATGTTGAGGGAGCCAAGATGGATGCGTGCAGAAGACAGGCTGAGGGGGTCAGGGAACCAAAGAGAAGGCTATTTCAATAGTCTAGGTGAGCGATGATGGTGGCATAGACCAGAGTGGTTGGTGGAGGTGGTGGGAAGTCATCAGATTCTGGGTATACTTTGAAGGTGGGGTCCGCCATATCTGCAGACACACTATGTGTATGCTAAAGAAAGAGCAGTTAAAGATGACTCTAAGGTTTTTGGCCTGAGCAATAGCAAGGACAGAGATTCTCTGATGAGAAAGACTGTGTGAAGAGCAGTTTTCAATGGGGAAAATTAGTTTATTTTAGTGTGTTAAGTTTGGGATGTCTGTTAGATATCCAGGTAGAGAGACTGAATAGGAAGTTGGGGAAGATACAAATTTAGAAGTCATTGGCAGAAAGGTAGCATTTAAAAGCATTAAAGTCATGAATCTGGATAAGAAAGTGCTAAAGAATCAAAGGCATGCCAATATTTGTGATCGGAAAGATGAGGAGGAACCAGTAAACAAGACTGAAGTAGAACAAAGAGAGAGGTATCCCAGAAACAGTGAAGAAAATATATCAAAGAGGATGAAATAATCCTCCTGATTATGTATCGAACCTGATACATGAATAAGGTGAAAAATGACTGTTGGACATGGCAATGTGGAGGTCTTTGTGATGGCTTTGACAGGAGTTGTCTAGGTTATAGACCAAAAGTGAATAGGGACAGAGGAATTGAAAACAAGTATAACCAACTCCAGGACCAGAGAAGGTATATAGTTGAGGTGTGTGGAGAGATGTGCATTGGGGGCTGGGGAGGCTTAGCTCTTCAGACTCAGTAACATCTAAGGCATGATGCATACTCGAACTGCTTTTCTTGCTGGAGGTTTCAGAATTAGTCAGTTATCTCACCAGCTGTCAGATGTTTCAAATGTCCACATCTGAGCAAGATGCAAAGCACGGTTTAGGCAGCAACGAAATTGGTGGTCTTGGCCTCTATTTGTCACTGGGAGCGCTCATGATCTGGGCAGAGACCGCTCAGAACATTTGCCAGAACAGGCATCTCCCTTTATCTGAATCTAGTCCGTTCCTGGAAATACATTAGCTAGTGAATTTCCAGATGGTAGAAGTCCTTTCCATTGTTTTAAATGGGGAAAAAAAGAAACCACTAAAGCATTCCCACCTCATCTAAAAATCCCAACGAGTTTCTTCAAATATCACTAAAACACTCCTAGACACATGAGGCTCCTGGGTGACTGAGTCAGTTAAGTGTCTACCTTCGGCTCAGGTCTTGATCCTGGGATCCAGGTGGCAAGGAGTACCTATAAATGGGATTCACTTGAAAGGCAGTGCAGGCTTTAGCATCAGACAGTCCTGGATCCACAGCCTGGCTTCCCCATTTATTAGCTTGTAAGATCTTGGGAAGGTGGCTAATCTCTATGAGAGTCAGTTTCCTTGAATGTGAAATGGGGACAATAATACTTAAAGGGTTATTAAAAGATCATAATATGCATAATGATGCCTGGCACACATATTAGATGACCAATTTAAAAGAAACAGTAACTATATCTATTAATCTATTAGTATGTGGGTGTAAACAACAGAAATTTAAAGAAAAAAAAAGAGGGGGTGCCTGGGTGGCTCAGTCGGTTAAGTGTCCAACCCTTGGTTTCGGCTCAGGTCATGATCTCAGGGTTGTGAGATCAAGCCCCACATCAGGCTCAGCTCAGAGTCTGCTCAAGATTCTCCCTCTCCCCTCTGCACCCCCCCCCGCTCATGCTCGTGCACACTCTCTCTCTCTCTCTGTCAAATTAATTAATTAATTAATTAATTAATTAAATCTAAAATAAACTGAATCCAGCCTATTTGTTACTGAGGTAAGGAGAGGAAAATTAGATTAGTTATTGTCATGCACAAAAAAAAACAGGGGGAAGCCATGTGTTTAAAAGGCAAGATGTTTCATTGTAAGTTACATTTTTCTCCCTCATCTTGGCAGCACCTTATAAGAAAGCAGTGCCAGTCTATTAAGGGTTTTGCTGACTGTTTGATGATGTTAAGTCAAAAATGAATTCCCCCATTTTGTTCTTCATCCATAGCAGTAATAACTCATTAAATCCTTATATAATAGCCATATCCTGTACACATTACACCAGGTCCAGCCCAAGGGCTATTTTCAGACATATTTGTAATCTGCTTTCTGGAGCTCCGCGTTATACGGTTGGTCGCCACTTGTCCTAGGAGAAGCCCTAGTACTTGCGTAGCTCTCGGGGCCCGATGCACCTCTTGCCTTTCCTAGACCAGCATTCCTTATTCCTTAGGGCTGGGCTTCTGCCTCATTCTCAGGTGATCGGCCTAGTTCTCCTGCCTTGTGCTTAGTTGCCTAGACCAGGCCATGCTCTGTGTCCCTGCTCACCTCCAGGCATTAGTTCTCCAGGGATGCTAGCAGCCATCACTGATACGGAGCCACTGCTGGAGGTACCGTCATGGGGCAAAAGAGGTTTCATGGCCAGACCCCACCGGAGTCTGTAACCCCCAAGTTCTGCCTCTGAACGCCGCCCCCACATGGACGTCCTGGCACACCCGGGAGGCGGACCCGTGCCTGAACCATGTCTGGCTAGCTGTTTCTTCAGGATTCAGGTAGGGAGAATGAAAGAGAAAGGAAGATCCCTTCAAGAGAACGGGGGACACTGACACCAGTCAAGGGGGGTGATTAAGAGTATAGGCTCTGGAGCCAGACTCCCTGGGTCTATAGCCCAGCTCTAACCTTTGCTAGTTGCGTGACCTGGGACAAGTTGCTAAGCTATTCTGTTCCTAAGTTTCCTCACCTATAAAATGGAAGTGATGACAGTACCTACCTCATAGGTTGTTATGAACAGTAAGCAAGTTGCTACAGTGCTAAAGTGCTCAGAGCTATGCCTTCCACATATTAAGTGCTAAACAATTACTGATGATGATGATGATGATGACCAAAAACCCTGAGCAGAGGGATGACATCGGGCTCCTCAGCACTGGTGTCCACGGGCTTGTTTAGTGTAGCCCTGTTTCTCCCTCACGGCACATGCCTCCTGCACCAGACCTACCCCTCAGCCACCATGGTCTGCTTCACAACCCCCTACATCACTGTGCCAGATGTCACTTCTTTCCCTCTGTTTCGACAACCTTCAGAGTGCTTACTTTCCCACCCACGCCTCCACATTCTACCTCTCTTATGAACCAACTTCTCCACAAAACTGCGATGACACGGATCAGTGTCTGTATCATGGCGTATGAATGTTTGCTTCCTCCCTAGACTCAGGTTGATTAAAGGCAGGGCCATAACCCTCCTATCTTCATCCCATGGTACCTCAAAGAGTGCCTGAAGTAGTGTGTCCAAAGTCTTTCTTTCTGCAGGATTGACTCTTGTCATTGATGTCCGTGACTGAATAATGCCCATTTCACAGAGAATTCGTAAGGATTCTCTTAGATCTCATATGTAAATTACATAGTGAAGTACCTGCCACATACAGTTGTTTTAACTATAGTTGCTTTAAATGCTGCTGGCTTTTGGGGGGGAGAGGGGGTTAGGGAGGGGGAGAGGGAGAGAGAGAATCCCCACGCAGACTCCACGCCCAGCACAGAGCCTGATGTGGGACTCAATCTCACGACCCTGAGATCATGACCTGAGCCGAAATCAGGAGTCATGCACTTAGCTGACTGAGCCACCCAGGTGCCCCAGCTGCTGTTTTGTTGTACAGCAGAAAGAGCCCAGGCTTCACAGCTAAACAAACATGGGCTTACAGACCAGCTTGGTCACTTAAAAGCTGCACAGACTTTAGTTTCTTCAACTGTAAGTTGTGGTTTTAATACCTATCTCAGTGCAAAAAGGTTAAGGAATCAATAAATATTAGGTCCCTTTTTTTTTTCCTCCTCTCTGGCTGTCTAATTTTGTGACATGCCTGAATTTACTTCACTTCCCTGGTCCCAGGTTCCTCGTCTGTAAAATGAGAACACTGAAGTAGATGATCTCCATGTTCCTGCCAGATCTAAATGTCAAAATTACTGAAACTCATCATCCCTTCCCCTTAAACCTACTCATTCTGTGTCCCTGAGAAAGGTTCTTTCCTTGATAACTAGTCAGTGCTTCAGGATGTTAAATTGTTTCAACCTTGGTCTCTATCTCTTAGTCTCCCTCTAGAGCCTGTAGGGCGGTCCAGACCCCGGGACCCTTCATGCAAGAGGACTGTAAGTGCGTGGCTCCCCAGGAAGCGTGCTGCGCGGCGGCCCTCCGCCCTGGCTGGGCCCCTCTCACAACGCAGTCCAGTGAAGCCTGCCAAGCCCCCAGGGGAGGGCTGGGGAGGGGTAGTCTCCAGCTCTCCTGCGATCCAGGGGAAAAAAGTATCTGCATCTAAAAACAACCGTGGGGCCAGGCGGAGCCTCGCATTCACGGCCTTTCCTTCCCTGTTCTGCCACAGACTTTGCAAATGGGCATCAAACACTTCTCTGGACTCTTTGTGCTGCTGTGCATCGGCTTTGGTCTGTCCATCTTGACAGCCGTTGGGGAGCACATGGTGTACAGGCTGCTGCTGCCGCGGATCAAGAGCAAATCCAGGCTGCAGTACTGGCTCCACACCAGCCAGGTGAGTGCGTGGACCCCCTGCTCCAGTGTGAACTGTCCGAATTGCCACGGATGCCCCGCAGAGTGCAGAGCCCCACGTCAGACAGGTGCCAGGTTCCCAGGAGAACCGCGGTGGCGTAGACAACTCCCTGTAGTCGATGGAGTTCCCTCTATCCCATTAATGCACTTTCCCCTTAGATTAGCCTGTCCCGTGACGCCCCCGCCTTGCTTCCAGCCCCTCACTGTTGCTCACACGGAAGCGATGGGAGTTGTCTTTCACCTGGTTTCGCTTAGTAGTGACAACCTGCAGAGATGGTGTGCCAGAGTTACTTCCTACAGACTCTCTCCTAGCCAAAACGGAAGCTCATTCAATGAGCTTGAAGTCCCTACTTGCCTGCCGATGAACCCAGCGGCCCCTGTTCCGTCCGCATTTTCAGTGGCCCCGAGGTGGGGAGCCGGCGGGGGCGCAGGCCGAGCCGCACAGGATGGGCGTTCTGTGCCCGGATGCGGGCGCGCTCCGGCCCAGGGACCACGGAGACAGGCCGAGCCGCACGCTCCCTCGCACCGCTCGGCCTGACAGCAGGGGCCGCCGAGAGCCCGCGGAGAGCAGAAGGGGCTGTGGCGGCTGTGGCACCTGCCGCCCGGGAGGCGGAGGCGGCCGGGGCCAGCCTGATCTCCCACACGGCCGCTCCCTCCTGCCTCCCCGGTGGCCGCGCGCCGGGCTCGTGAGGCCGCCCCTGCCGCCGCCGCTGCCCTGCTCGTCGGTGACAGCGACCCTTTTTTACTAGCTAGGTCACTGCCCTTGGTTCGGTCACATGGGACCCTGTTCTTCCTGCTTCGTCCTGGAAAGCATCTGGAGCTCCGCAGACAGGTGGCCTCCGTCGGGTGCTCACGTGACTAGCGGAATTCTCCGGGTTCTTCCCTTTTCGTTTTGGCTGCAAAGACGTTTTTGACTCACCTTTAGAAACAATTCTGCAAGGCCCTTTGCCACACACTAGTTGGGACGACTCTTCTTTATATCACGTACCTTTTTACGACCCAGAGCATTTCTAAAGTTTCCTTCGAATTACTTTTTTTCCCCTCTAGATAGAATAATAGCTGAGAATTAAAATTTGGTTCTCTTGAGATTTAGGGCTGAAGGTTGATCTGTTTTCAGGCATCCCTGGAAATTTGTTGAAGGAGGCCCAGATTTGTAACAGTGAGATACACTATTAAACTCAGGTGGTACTTGGTCCCCAGCCTGTGTGTTTCTAATGATCTGTACGTGTGAATCTGTTCTTTTCGCCAGAGATTACACAGAGCACTAAACACATCGCTTGTAGAGGAAAAGCAGCAGCGTTTCAAGACTAAACGTGTGGGAAGGAGGTAAGAGGCCAGCGCCAGGTGTCTTTATGTTTGTGAAGGTAAAAGTGGAGAGATGTAACTGGGACTCCCTGCTCAAAGGGGAAATTCTGTATAAATAATTCAGATCAAACCAGGACCAAGTTGTTGGTAACACAAGCAGTGCAAATATATATGGTTTTAAACAGAAATAGAACAGAGAAGAGAAAACATCTGTACCTATACGGACAGGGAAATGCAGGATAGGCCAGGTACGTCCTGGGGAAGGGTGCAGCTGTGGTCTCTAGAGTCACGCGTGCGGACCCTAACCTGTCACGGACCCTTGCCATACGTGGGGCATAGCAAGGTATTTCTCTGACCTCTCTGTGCCTCCATGTCCTCGTTTGTGAAATTGAGATAAAAACAGTACCCACTTCCTTGAGATGCTGTAAGGATTAAACAAGACAATACATGGAAAGCCCCGGAAACAAAGCCATTTTAGCTCTTATTACTGTGCACAGAGTACACGCAAGCCTGAATTCACGAGTCCTGCAGGCCGTTCGCTTCGTGCCGTATTGCCTTTCTGACATGTGTCTGCTCCCCACTCCTTTCCAGCACTCCTAGGAATATTTGAAATATGCAGTGGACGTGTTCTGCTTCATCTATTTCCTGGCATTCTTACTACAAACTCACCAGAAAAGCCTCCCATTGATAGGGAATACCAAGCATTAAATGCCTAGAGGACCCCTTCCCTGCGTGCAGCCCGTGGGTGACTGTGGTGGCTAAAGATGCCGGCAGCGTTCCGTCTGGCTCCTGGCTGGCCTCTGCAACCTGCTCCCTGGGGCGGCCCTCCTCCTTTCTCGTGCCCAGAGGCCTCTGTTCAGGAGCAGCTCTCATCGGTGGCAGATCTTCAGCTCAAAGCTTAAGCTTTCCGGGTAATTTTGAAATCTGCCACTTACACTTCTCACTCATAATAGAGGAGAAGGGAAAAAGGGGTGAAAAGCATCATTTTTTTCATTGTTTATACCTCCTCTGGGACTGCTGCTGGCCCCCTGTCTCCAGTTTGCATCTAGCTTGTCAGCATCGTTTCGGTTCTCTCTGGAAGCCTATCTTTCCAGTCAGTGAGCACCTCCCACCTTCTCAGTCTGTGGTATTCCTGCATCATGTTGCAGCCCTGTCAGTGACAAGCTGGAGACTAATCAGGTCCCAGCTGTTCTATGCCATATTACGTCTGTTTTTTCTGTAATTATTTTTTAACACGCATTTTTAACCAGAGGAACACAAGAAGACATAGCGGTGAAGACAGCGTCTCATGACAAAGCATGTGGTTACCATCCGTAATAGAAACAGGAAGCCCAGGGATCCCATTTCCAACTGTGATGTGGTTCCTAGTCACATCTCTCTCACCTCAGCTGAGAACCAAACGTGTCTTTCACTCAATATGTCCACTTTTCTTGGCAGATTCCCTTCTGTAGCCCCTTATTTTGAGAAGGAGCTAAGGCAGAACATGCCCTCCTGGCTTATGCTGGGCCCACACTTCCTTTGCCACCTCCCTGCAGCCTAGCACCCAGCTGTGACCTTTCAAACGCAGCGAGTGTTTGAGGCCCCACAGCTGTCAGGTCTCTTCTGAAGGCAATAGTGGAGCATTGAATTCCGAGGTTATAGAACTGATCTGTGGAAGCTCATTTTGCTCATTTTTAGTGCCAAACACAGTTCACCTACTGGTCGACTTACACGCTAAGGCTGAGGAAGTTTCAATAGAAAACAGAACGAAACACTGAAGAGGCCTCCAATTAGACACCAGATCTGACATCAGTATCTGTCATATTCTGTTCACAAGTTGGCCCAGAGCCACATGTCGATTACCGGGACCCTTGTTATGCTAGCAACTCGAGTCTGCCATGGAATCCAGCTTCTGCTTCTGTATTCTATTCCCAGATATGTGTACAAAGCTCTGGAGAAAACCAGATTGGTTAGCTCTACTTAACATGATTTCTGTGGTTGCCTGGGTGCCAGGAAAATGTGCAGATCCCCTACTCCCAGGTGCTCCCTATGAATCATTCTGTGGTACTACAGTTAAGTCTGCTGGGTTGAAAACTCTGTCCCCGTTTTTTTGGAAGAGTATCTATGCAAATGGCCACGTCTGCTACAATTCGGCATTCCTCCAGTGTGCTCCATATTTATAGAATGAATAAGACAATAGATAAGTGGGTGAATGCAGATGAGTGTGGCCCTGACAACCAGGGATGGTGGATGTGTGTGCACCTGCTGGAGAATAAAGATTTCTTTGAGCTAAAAAAAAAAAAAGATGAACAAATTCTTAACATGTGGATTTGAGGAAAGGCATAAAGAAGTTCTGGGCCATGATGCAAAAGTAGACATTACTCCTTTTCTATTTAAAGCAGAGGGAAAAAGTGGATATTGCAAGACACTATGCATAGTCTTCGGTTTATTCAACCTGGGATTTCATGTAAGTTTTGGTCTATACTTCACCCCACTGGGTTTCCAATACACCCCCATTTTCCCTGGCCCCAAGATATACAAAAATTGTAACCGGTGTAACACACACAAACAAGATTGTCTTGAAATTTTTCAAACTCAATTGGAAGGGATTTGAAGGAAAAATTAAAGGGAACTGTACAGCTAAAGTAAAATGGTAACTGCCCCCCTGACCCAGGTTTAAAGCCAGCAGAGCTGTAAAGGGGTTCATTGGAGACTCTTACTAAGCCCAGGACACATGAGAGCTAACTTTCATTGTGTTGCCACCCACTCATTATATGCCACTTAAACTATGAGAAATGTAAAGGAACTGCAGGGGAGTTTGGAATGTGTGCTTTAATGGCCTGGGGCATGTATCTTAGTTTTTGCTGTGTGAGAAAATTATCTCAGTAACTTAATTATTTTAAACAACAGCAAGTTAGCAATCTGTGGGTCAGCTGTGCAGTTTGCTGGTCTGGGCCGGACTTGGCTGATCTTGGCTGGATTTGCTCCTATGTCTGTAGCCAGCTTGTGGGGAAGAGGAAAGCAGCTGGTCTGTGGCCTCAGCTGGGTCCACTGGGAAGACTGGGGACTCTCTCCACACTGTTATCATCAGCAGACTAGTGTGGACTCATTCACATTGCAGCAGCAGGGTTCTGAGAGAGACCCTCAGGGGACCTGCATGAGGCTTCTTCAAAGTTTAGGTGTGGAACGGCCACCTGCCATTTCTGCTAGTTTGGCCCAAAAAGTCAGGAAACCAGACTAAATTCCAGGGGGAGGGAAAGCCAGACTTTGTTCCCTTGAATCCTCCTTGATAAAGGTGCGCTGCAAAGTCACATTACCGAGGGACATGGGTGGAAAGGAGGAAGAAACTTTATTAGCCCTCCCTCTGCCCCTCCCCTTCCCCGGAAAGAAAGAGTCCAGAAATAAAGTTTTGATTTAGTGACATGGATGGGAACAGAAACACAAGGACTTAATAGAGTGTTTCTCTGTAGGTTTGCCCTGTGGTGGATTGCAGAAGTGTTCATAACCCTCCACCTCCTCCAACAAGGCTAGAAGAAATCCGCAGCTATGCTGCTTGGGGCTCTAGTCTGTTCTTGTAGCAAGAAACTCTTCTCATTACATCTGACTGTCAGAGTTCCTTTCAGGCACCAAATCCCCTCCTCTTGTGCCTGTCCGGCAGTTAAGTCTTGCTCTCTACAGCCATCTCCCTGAGATGGTAGCAGGTGGTTTGACGCAAGCCTGAAAGAGGACTGTGAATCTGTTTCTATTGACTTTCATTATTCCAGCAAGAATTTGAGGCTTTCTTGGGGTTTCTTTTAAAGCTTCAGACCTGAGCTGTCATTCTCGACCCACATAAAATCATCCCTATAATGGAAAACTTTTTGCTGAAACCTTCAGCTTGTATGTTTTTATTCTCCTCAAACTCAAGCAGTAAACTTCAGGTAGTCCTGTGGGATTGAGCATGACCCGTTTTATAGTATCTACCAGCCGGCTTATGCTTAGAGCCCAACAGGTGAACAAATAGGCTCTCACTTTTACTAAAGCACCATCTTTGTAGCCAGAGAATGCTTCAAGCCGGTGCTGTGCTCTGAGCCTCACTGGCAGGATGGGAGTGGAAAGACATCCAAGGTTCTTCAAAAAAGAATACGCCACACCCTGGTCCATCAGCCCTCCAGATGATACATCCATTCCAATTTCAGGGCAGCTTAAGTCTTGGTAAGAACTTCAGTTGAAAAGAATTGTAATGGCTCTTTTTGTCCCTATGCCACTCCAACAGGCAGTCTGTCCGTGGCAATCTGTCTTCTGAATGCATGTCCAGTTCCATATTCACAGTTTGAAATGGCCAACAGCTGGGGAGCAGCACTTTGAGAGCCGCAGAATGGAAGGTAAATCTAAAGTGTCTTTGTTTCCTAGGGCCAGTGTGGGACCCCGTCAGCTCACTGTGTGGAATACTTCCAATCTGAGTCAGGATAACCGACGAAAATACATCTTTAGTGATGAGGGAGGACAAAACCAGCTGAGCATCCGGACCCACCAGGACATCCCGCTCCCTCCAAGGAGAAGAGAGCTCCCTGCCTCGCTGACCACCAACGGGAAGGCAGACTCCCTAAATGGAGCTCGGAACTCAGTGATGCAGGAACTCTCAGAGCTTGAGAAGCAGATTCAGGTGATCCGTCAGGAGCTGCAGCTGGCTGTGAGCAGGAAAACAGAGCTGGAAGAGTATCAAAGGACAAACCGGACTTGTGAGTCCTAGATGACCATGCTGCTCCCCTTCCCAGTTCCCGGCATTCCTCTGAGCCCTTGAGACACTTTGTAATGCTCTTTTGTAACTACTGACAAAAGTGTGGAGAAGCGGAGGTCTAGGTCTCTCTTAGAAGTCAAGTCTGCCCATCCTAGCCTAAAAATCAGCCACAGCTCTTCCCAAGCTGACTCCCTAGCTCTCCAGGGTAGGGGTCTTTCAGAGCAGGGATGGTAAATTAGGAGTAAACTCCGTGGAAAGGATCTATGAATGACCAGGCAACCCCAGCTCCTCATTGGGTACCATACTGGTAGTTCTGGGTTTTAGTCCTTTCTCTGCACTCTCACCAACAACAGATAAAATGTTACTCATACCTGGTTTTAATCTTAGCATAGAACAGGGTTATCCAGGGTTGTGGCTTTTGATACAACTCCCCCAACTAGATTTGTTCCTGCATTCTGAATAGGGAGCCAGATAAGAGCCAGAGGTGTGGGTAGCAAACAATTAAGCGAACTCATTAACATCACAGCAGACCAAGGATTGACCGGATCAAGCAGGAGCCCTGTTTTTGAGAGGGTTCCGCATCTCTGACACCATCCTGACCAGCATTTAGTAGGAACGACTTATGTCCACTATGAAAGGGGATAGGGATGTGGTGAGCGGGAACAGGACAGGCAGAAGAGGCATTAAAAATATATACCATGTTGAGAACAAAAGCTCTGGGCCAGAAAAACAATTTGGCTAAGGAAGGAATACGACAATACTTCTAATCTAACTAAGCATCTCCACTACAGAGTGTGCCTTTTATAAAGGAAAGCAAAGCAAAGCAAGGACATGGCCTTAGATGAAACCAGACTACCCCTGCTTATTGCCCGTATAGGGCATGCAAGCTGGCTCTGTGGGTTAAGTGAAAAGGCTCTGCAAACCACACACTAGCCCGTTCTCAAATCGGCAGTTGCCTCATAGCTTTAGGAATTCCTAAAGCGGACCCCCCTGCAAACACCACAAGCTTTAACATATGGGACGGTGCCCTGGGCGGTCCATCTCTGTACAGGTAACTAGCACGGGGGTCTCCCAGCCCCACACCTACTCCTCCCTGAAGGGCTGAGACCAGGTGTGGTCCCTCCCGTTCTTTCCCAGGCCCCCTCTGATGCCCCCAAGGACCTGATTATCAGTAACCTGGCTTCCTGATCCCAGGCATCCCTGTCCCAGGTGCAGTGGTGTGGACATGCATGCAGGAAGGAAAAGTCACGGGGAACTATGGAACACCAGTTCCCAGTGCTAGTGTAGATGGGAGGCATCTAGGAACCCATTAGAATGCTGACCACCAGGGCCTTTTTCCCCGGAAGATGGGGTGAGGTGGGGAGTCTGGCTCAGAAACCTGTTAACCAGCTCCCCCAGGTGACTGACACGTGTGATCCAAAAACTACTCTTGGAGAAACACTGTTCTAGAAGGATGGCTGCTCCAGGCCTGGGGAAAAGGAAGAGCCTTTTTGAGAGGTTTTTACATGGTAGCACACAGCTGCTGATTCACCTTCCATACAGCCGCTCCCACCCCTGGGTACCACTTGGGACGAGACTTGCTCGGTTATCACTTACTGTGCTATGGCCTCATCTGTCGGGATGCCCAGCACGAATTCACAACACTGTCCCAAGCACTGTGCTCTGTAACAGCTGCACATCACTGGAAAGGCTTCGCAATCACAAAATTTCCCCTGCGTTTCCACCAGGAGCTACCCAGTCCCCAGGGAGAGACAACACCTTCGGCTGTTATTAGATAACACTTTAGTTATTTTTGTCTGAGAAAACCCTAGGGTGGATGGAGGCAGAGAGAGACTGATGAGGGAGCTAAGAAGCTTCTAGTTAGACTTCATCTACCTCGCAGATGAAACAGTGAGGAAACAGGGGGAGCCCTGGAAACAGAAAGAACAGCCCTGCTTTGAAATGCCCTGTCCTCCCATGTTCTCCCCCAGGCCCCGACATAGATTTGCACCTGCCTTTGGAAGACGTTGCCTCGTAGCCGCCCCCACCCATCGGTAAGAGCCAAGGACGCCGCAGCGTCTGCTGTCCCGATGTGCCGGTGCGCCTCCTGACGACGAGCCAGCCATGCTCCTCATGGACTCGGGCCCTTTTCTAACTCAGCTCCTCCTGACTGTTCTTGAGAAGCTGGCTATTTAAAGGAACCCAGAGGTGAATTCTTTTGTAAAGTAAAGAATTGTTTTGTAATGCAATTAATTCTCCCTTAACGTATCTGTTTTGTAAGTTTGGATTTTTGTATTGTGTGCTTAAGGGTTTACCTTAAGCTTCTCTCCTAAGGCGTTCTGAGCGGTGGTAGCAGCCGCAGGGTCCTGCCTACCCACAAAGTGGATGGCCAGGGGGTGGCCAGCAGCAGCAGGGGCTGAAAGCAGGCTTGCTGCCGTGGGCATCGCTTGAAATGCCTCCGTGTTCTGGATGAAGAGGAACCGCATAGCTGCTTGTGGTGGAACGAAGCGGCCCCAAGTAGCGGTGGTTGTCATTATCGGTAGTAACTGAACAGTGTTTTGCAGTCTGTGAAAGTGTGTTGTGTTTTATAAAAAAAAGTTCATGAAATGGTGGGTCCTTTGAAAACCCTCCTTTCTGTTCTGCTCCACCTGTTCTTTCAACTCCCCTCGGGCTCAAAAACCACAAAGATCAAAGTCTTCAGGTGGAGGATGGTATTTTAGTGAGGAAGAAAGAGGTAAGGGATTGCTCCCTTGCCTCCTCGTCCGGACTCCTATTTCATGAGATCAGGAAGGTCCATTCTTTTCCAAACTCTGGTGCTGGGCAGCCGGACAACCTGATTGTGTCGCACACCCCACCCTGTTTTCCAAGGTGGGGAAGTTCCTGGCACAAGAAGCACACAATACAATATGGCGGGTGTGAGCAGGAACAGATAGGCTACGTGCTTCATGTAAATAATACCAAGGGCCCCAGAGTGCGGATGCCTCGAGGTAGAGGAGCAGCAAGGGGATCCCTCCAACTATTAAAAGATGAGTTGGAAAAATGGGACAGCCAAGTGAGGCAGCCACAGGGACACAATCAGTTGAGGTCTTTAACGTGCCTGGAGGTGATTCCATCATTCATGGATCTTGCTGTTGCACAAACCCTCTGCAGGAGCTGCTTCTGTGCCAACCAGAGAAGCGGTCAGTGAAGCAACTGCCAAGTAAAACCCAGCTACATCGGGGCAGTGGGCTTCTCGGTGTTGGCGCTGGGTCTAATAGGGCCTTGGAGCTAATAAGCACTTCCTTGGCGTGGATAAAGAATGAAGGCAAAAGAAACTACTTTAGAGCCTCTCTCCTCCCAACTCATTTTTGATAAGCAAACCAGAAAATCCAACCAGTCATGGAAAGAACTTGTGTTTTAGTCATCAAAACCACTCCACTAGCTGCACTGTTGAGATACTCCTTTTTTCACCTACCTACGCCTCCCATCTAATCCAGGAGTCCCTCCCTCTTTTTTGCTTAGTTCCCAATCGTTTTATGAAAATAATGTACTTAGAGGTATTTTCTTAAGGTTTGTAAAGAGTGTTTGCATTGTGTCTTCATTTTAACGTGTGTGCAATCGCTCCAGTCCAGGAAGAACTGAAATGCTGTCTTGTGAGCATGAAGTGAACAGGCTGTTTTGCTCCAGCCACTTTTCTTGTACAACCACATGGATGGACTAGATGTTCTCAGGTCTTTTCCATCTTCAGTTTCTATGACTGTGGAATAAATGTTCAGAAAGAAACTTCATTTTCTGATGTACTGCTGGCATTGTCTTGGGGGATTCAAATGTGGACATGGTACCAGCCCCTTCCTCACAGGAGACCCACTCATGCTAGGATTTATACTTGTTTCTTAGTAGAGTCGACGTGGCACAAAATATGCTGAGAAAACTCAGCCCAGGCATCACAAAGTACAATCGAAATGGCTTCGTCTGAAAGACATTCTAGGAAAAGCCACAATACTGAGAGACCTCTAAAAAATTCTCCCCTGGCCACCCTCATTTAGTAATTCAACAACCATCTGCTACACAGCCTGTGTTTACGTGCCAAGTGCTGGAGACACACAGTGAATAATATGGGCATGGTCTCTGAGCTCAGGGACCTTCTCACAATCTGTCCTTTTCACAACCTGTCAATAGACAATACTATAGTGGCTAACATTTATTGAGCATTTATTTTATTCCAGCTTCATTAAAACCCCATGACACAGGTTCTCTAGACCTAGTCTACAGTAGATAAACTAGACCTCCAGTTTACAGATGGGAAAACTAAGGCTCAGGGAATTATGGAAATTGTCCAAGGTTACACGGCTTAGGAAGAGGAGTGGCCGAGGCAGGTTCACACACAGGCAGTGCAATTCCAGAACACCCATTTTATACTGTCAGGATTCTGATAGCTGCCTTACAACCCCCTCTCCTTCCTCCCACCCCCCCCTTCAGTCTTTGTGCCACCGCGCCTCCGGCCCATGCCTCAGCTGGGCCCCCAGCTCCACAGGGAAGGAAGCCGATGCACAAACTGCACCTGCTTTGCCACGTCCACTGAACTCAACACTGTGGCCCCAAGTCTCACAGAAACAGCTGTTGTAGGCGTCTCTTGGCTTTCTGGCCCGAGAACTGGTACAGACACAGCAGAGAATCCCTGAGCAGTCCCGCGGTCCCAGGCCCACCGCGGTCTCCGACATACCGCCGGCAGTTTCAGCTGCTTGGCCACCTTGCCAGCGTGAAGCTGCTAGCGGGACGCATTTGTCCAATCTCATACAAATACAAACCTACTGTAACCTAGCTCAACTGCCAACTTACCCAAGGTTGTTTGGCATCAGTCACTCCTTGTTTGGATGCTGATTTTGAGCCCGGCATTGGGCTTGCTGCTGGCGAGAGAAAGAGAAAAAGCAGATTCTGACCCCATCGAGCTCAGTCCAGCAGGGAGACAAAAACTGGCAAAACAATGTGGCATATGTTCTGACAAATGCACATCAGGTACCGTGGAGGCGAAAAAGACACTTGTCCTCTGTGTGTGTGCATGTGTGTGTGTGCGCACACATGCACGTGCACCCGCAGTGGAGAAACTAAGAGCAGGGTTAACAGGCACCCCAGGTAAAAGACACAGAATGTGCTAAGTTCCAGGGTTGGGAAACTATGACAATCGAAAAACATAGGAACATCAAATAACTCAATATGATAGAAAAATAAAGCACAGGTGGGTAACAGGCTGTAAGGACTGCAAAGAGAAAAGCAGAGGCAAGATCCCTATTCCAAATCAGATTTGTATCCCAAAGACTACAGGAACCATTAAAGGATTTTAGGCTAAAGAGGCTTATAATAAAAGATCAGGGTCCTCACTGCTGGGTGGTACTAGCTATCATTCCCAAACATTCTATTTGTAGGACAGTGAGCAAATGAAGTTAACTTTTTGATGCCTGGGCATGACCTGGCCATGATTATCATTTAACCAGCACAGGTGGACTTAGAGATAGACATAAATAAACACATACAATCTAGAGTCTAAATATGTCAGTCTTTTTTCCTACAAATAAGGAGAAAATGTAGAAGAAAAATTGACCTCTCAATTTATTTGCAATACAAGTTAGTATTTTGAGCATTTACTAGTTGCCAGGCATTCTGCTAAATGTTCTGTGTACATTGACTCATTTCATCCTCAATACAATTCTATAATGTAGTTATTATTTTATAGATTAAGAAACTGAAACAGAGAGCTGAAGTAACCTAATAAGAGGCAGGGCCATACTCATCCTAAGTCTGACTTCATGAGAAACATGTTTAGCACAGCACCTGGCATCACAATGCATCAACGGGCTGGGCTGGATGAGCAAGGAGAAATCTAAGATCCCTTTGGTTCAGTTCTACTCTGGGACAAAGTGCTATGGGAACTCTCAATGAATAGGGGAAGAATATGCAGTCCTAATCTAGGGCCTGGCAGAGAGCCTACATCAATTAGAAATCTTCAGAAAGACTTAATTAAAAGACTCAAGTATTTTCATTTATTATCTTCCTGATGACACGCATTCTATTGGTACATGTCTCCACTTAGGGTAAAAGAAAAAACAGAGGTCTGATCGCCACATTATGATTCTGCTGCTAAACTAAGTGACCCTGGGACTTGTTTCCTCATCTCTAAAATAAGGACATGGGGAATATAAAGCTGGTGCAGCCACTCTGGAAAACAGGATGGAGGTTCCTCAAGAAGTTAAAAATAGAGCTACCCTACAACCCACAAATTGTACTACTAGGTATTTATCCCAAAGATACAGATGTAGTGAAAAGAAGGGCTACATGCACCCCAATGTTCATAGCAGCAATGTCCACAATAGCCAAACTGTGGAAGGAACTGAGATGCCCTTCCACAGAGGAGTGGATAAAGATGTGGTCCATATATACATGGAATATGACTCAGCCATCAGAAAGGATGAATACCCACCATTTACATCAACGTGGATGGAACTGGATGGTATTAGGCTAAGTCAAATAAGTCAAGCAGAGAAAGACAATTATCACATGGTTTCACTCATACATGGAACATAAGGAACAGTGGAGGACCATTGGGGAAGGGAGGGACAACTGAATGCGAAGAAACCAGAGAGGGAGACAAACCATGACAGACTCTTGACTCTAGGAAACAAACTGAGGGTTGCTGAAGGGGAGTTGGGGGAGGAATGGGGTAACTGGGTGATGGGCATTAAGGAGGGCATGTGATGTGATGAGCACTGGGTGTTATGTGCACCTAATGAATCACTGAACACTACATCAAAAATTAATGATGTACTATATGTTGGCTAATTGAATTTAAATTAAAAAATTTAAAAAATAAAATAAGTACACAGTTTGAGGTCCCTTTTAGCTCCGACATCCTAGCTTTCAAATCATTCCACTCCATAGATGTCAGTAACCTGAAATCCTCATAGTGTTACTCTATTAATGCAAATATACTATGCTTCCAACTTTGTCGACAATTTCCCTCAAAAAAAAAAAAAAAGACTAAACCTATAAAAGAAGCCATAGCTATCACGGATTGCCTCAAACAGAGCTATCAATTCCAGAATTCATAATAATTTCTTTTGTTACCACCACAAAAGGAAATTTAAAATTATATATTTCAGGATAATCCAAATTTGAAGAGTTACTTCAATATATGAGGAAAAACTGTTTCCACTTAGGGGGTGATTAGGTTTGAATTACACATTGGTCCAATAAAGCAGACTTCTGAGGAACTGTTAGCAGAAGCAAAAAGCTGAATCAACTTAACCATGCGGACCTTCCCTGAGTGCTGTGGGCCAGGCCTGCTGCTGGATACTGGGGACTACGTTGTTAAGACACTGCTCTATGTCCTAATGTTAGGACCTGTGATGTGTATCACAAATAAGACCTTAATATCTAACATTAGGAAAAGACCAAATTTGGGGAGAAATCCCCAGAAAGTAAAGCTCAATTTTCCTGTGTGGTGGGACAATTACAGATCTAGGAAATGTTTAGGTTATTTCCATACCAGAGGTTTCCTATTATGTAAACCCAATCCAACATGTACACAACCCACCACTTTCTACTTACTCTCAATGTAGCTGTCTTAGCACGTCGAATCAGGCAGACTTCCGCGGTAAGAACTAGTCAAAACTTCTCTGCATACTCACCTGGTACTTGGGTTTATCTATCAATTGATAATCCCCAGCAAAAACCTTAAAGACCAAATCTGAAAGGCATTCCACACGAACAGATGATCATGGAAACTGATGAGAGCAGAATATACCTCCCTTCAAGAAGCGAGCATCACCACCCCAGTAGGTCTAAAAGAAGACAAGTGATCATTTCTCTATTCTCCAGAATCTTCCCATGAATCCCCACAATATCAGACTCCAGAGTGCTGACCATTACACCATGGGGCCCACTTGAATCCTCACAACATCAAATCACATTCATCACTCAAGTGGCATGCACGTAGTACTATGTGCACAGAACTCCTGCCCTTGAAGAACAAAGATACCCTTGTGGATCTGGACAGAGATTAAAAAAAAACAAACAAGGAATCCCAACGGAAATTCATATAAGAATGCAACAGCTTGCAGAAATAGCTGAGCACCTTTGAAAAAGATCCCTATAGAGGTAAGAATTTAAGAGCCAACCATGTAGTTAAGATATATGCCTTAAAGCATTATCAACCCTGATTTTGGTCCAAATTGCCAAGATAATTTCCAAGGTAACAACAAAATAAAGAAAAAAAGAGACCATCCCCACAAGACCTGAAAAAAAGAGAGAAAGAGAAGACTCTAGTACTTCTCCAATAATCCTTGAAGTTGGCATTCTATATAAGCATTAAAGAAATTTTCTAAAAAGTTCCTTACGGATCTAGAACAATGATTCTTTTTTCTTAAAAATTTATTTTAGGGGCTCCTGGGTGGCTCAGTCGGTTAAGCATCTGCCTTCAGCTCAGGTCATGACCTCAGGGTCCTGGGATGAAGCCCCATATCGGGCTCCCTGCTCAGCGGGGAGTCTGCTTCTCCCTCTCCCACTCCCCCTGCTTGTGTTCCCTCTCTCGCTGTGTCTCTCTCTGTCAAATAAAAAAAATTTATTTTAAAGAGAGACAGAGAGAGTGCATGGGGGGAGCAGAGGGAGGGGGGAGAGAGAACCCTCAAGCAGACCCCCCCCACTTGAGCAAGGAGCCTGATGTGGGGCACGATCCCAGGACGCTGAGATCATGATCTGAGCCGAAATCAAGAATCGGACGCTTAACCAACAGAGCCACCCAGGCGCTGTAATTTTTCGGAGGATTGTGAGGTTTCAAATTTCCTTTGAGAATCTGAAAAAAGCTATGAAGAATGTGCATACAACACAAACAAAATTTTGTATACAATTTGTGGGTATTCCTGAAGCCCATTCATTGGCCTCTTCTGTAGTAAGAAGCCAGACTGTCCAAAAATCATCACCATTTTTGGTAATTATCTCAAAATGTCTCTAAGAGCTATGTTGCTGGGACTTCAAACTAGTTGGGACTAGAGGCTCCCTGTTCTTCCCAACTAGAGGAACTTCCCCTAAATCCAGTTTCCCATGGGACTAGTGGTTTTCTGCCACAATATTCCAGAGGCTGCAGTGCCCCAATGCTGGGCAGCCAGCTTTCCTAGCCAAACGTCATAAACAGTAAATATCCAAACCCAAACCACCTGCTGCCCAAGAAAAACACAAACACTAAAACAAACTGAATCCTGCTTTAATTGAAGCTTGGAGAGTATAAAGTCCTACAGAAACATTACAGAGAATCTTCCGGAAAACAGGGATCACAGCAATCCCTGTGGAGAGGCAGATGAGAGTAATTCATAGCTCACTAAGGCCTCCCTGTATCAAGTTCCCAGAGTACCCAGAAGATCTCTTCATCATCTCAGTCCTGTTCCCCATCCTCTCGAGCTTGATTTCATTGTAAGATAAAAAGGGCTACTAAATTTGAAATTATTCTGGCCTCAAGAAATTTAAAGACTTTTTAATGAGTAGGACATTCAAAACTTAAATAACTTCAACATGGAACCCAGCCGACTTTAACAAGTTACTTTGTTAGTGAATAGGAAATGGACTGAATCATCCTGGACATAATTTCATTAAGGCTTCAAACCATCCAGGAAAAAGTGGCACAATTATACCATTTTATATCCAACTTTACAAAAAGTTTACTACCCAAATCAAGAAATGTTTGTGCCCACAGAGAGCTTATTTCTAAAAGATCCCCCTCACCCCGCAAAACAGCCATATGTCTCCACTCTTCTTTGCTCCCTTCTCCGTATCAGAAATACCAATTTACTTCTTCAGGAGGAATAGAAATCCAAGATTATATAGTAAGCCTGAAGAAGAAAATGCTGAGAAATCTAAAAGCAGGAAAGAAATAAGCTGGTGGGGAAGACGAATGAGAGTTGCTTGTTTCTAATTCATTCTAAAACCCAAGACTTGCCTTTACGGGTCCTTTTTCCCTGCAATCATCTAGCTATTAGAGAGGAGAACCTGGACGTAAAGTCTGTGAAGAAAAGGTCACTGACAGACAAACTGCCCTGTAGGTGACAGTCGAGGAGAGAAGAGGTAGAGGTTTTGGTGGTTAATGAAGAAGTGCCTGTCTAGCCACTCCCTCTTCTTCTCTTGGCTTGGCTCAACCAATATAGATGCGATGGAAATCATTGGCACCAAACGCGGCGTTACACTTGGGACATTTGCGCTGACGGGTGTCATAGCGTGTCTTCACACACTCAAAGCAGAAAACATGAAAACACTTGGTCAGTACGGCGTCCTTTTTACGCATGTTGCAACATGGACAGGTCAGGCGTGCCTAAAAAAAAAAAAAAAAGAAGAAGTCAGAGTCTGATCGACCATAAAGGTTTAAATGGCTCTCATATGGAAGCAGACGAGCAGGAAACCCACTAAGCGCGAACACAAGAGTGCCACCCCCGCCCAAAAAAAACCATCCTCTGGTTCCCTTCATGTAAAGTTCGGTATTTATTCTCCCAGTCTATTAGCAGGCCACTTCAGGCCCGAACAAAAAGAACACAAAGAAATCACCAAGGCAGTTTTCCTAACCTTGTAATCCTTAATCTCCTCCATCAGGATCTCATCACATTTGGGCACATTGTCTGGTTTCTTTGTGGTCTCCAGCTTCCTTCGAAGTCGAGAGATGTCCTCCTGTGGTAAGAGAACATACCCATTAGACGCACTCCCCCAGACCTGCCATTTTGAGGAAAAAAACTGCTCCAACTTGAACTTTCTGCTCGGCAAAGAAAGGACTTTCTGTCCTCTCCTGGCCAATTATCTCTTAGGAATGCAGAGAACCGGAATGGCAAATACCTTCTTTTGTTCCAGAGCACAAAACCATAATCCTATTACCAAACTGAGTTGCACCTAACTTGTCAATGCAGTTCTGTAAAAATACAGTCTAAGAATTAAAAAAAAAAAAGATGAAAAACTTGATAAGCAACTTTATTTTAAGGCAATTACTTTCAAGCTGAAGGTAGAGTGGATTAAAATAATTTACAGATCTATGGATAAGGATAGAAAGTCATCATGAGAAACACTGGACATGCCAAAAACAGAAAAACTATAGAACTTCAAAATCCTCTAGTTTGACATGTTGCTACTTCTTTACAAATTCACCAATTCATTCAATTCATAAGTATGTATTTCATGCCCACCGGTTGGTAGGCACCATGA